GGGACATCTTGTACTTCTTGCATAAGAGATGGGAAATAAGGTTTTAAATAGTTGTAAAGCATTTTTTTTTTTTTTGGAAATATTCTTATATAAAAAAAAGTATGAGTTGGAAAGATGTGGGATTAAGGAATTAGTTATGATTAACATAGTTGTTATGCCTGAAAAGTTAGGGCTGACGTGGACTCGTCAGCAAGAGCCAATCAGGGTTCAAGAAGGTTTTATGTCATTCAGACACTACCACGTCGCGCAGTGATGGAAGAGGTATAGTTCTTGTCAGTGTAGCAGGTGAGTGCATGTGAGTGCTAGCCTTGCGAGTGGTTAGGAATTATCCACCTGCCCGAGCCTTACGGAATTTGAAGATATTTCTCGTGCAGATAACCAATGAGATGCAAAGAATGATTTGCACAAAACCTATCCACTTGCAGACTTGTAATCATTACCTTGAACTCTCCCACTATAAATAGAGGACATCCCTCTCATTTACGGGATTAGCTAATCTTAGTCTAAAACAACTTATATTCTCTCTCTCTCTCTCTCTCTCTCTCTCTCTCTCTTTGTATTCTCTCTAGATTATAACTCAGTTCGCCTCACGCAACCTGATTTTACTCATCTATTAATACAATAGCAGTAAACGTAGAATTCACTTTTGAGCATCCGAATCACTTTAAATATCGATTCTCATTCATTGTTTCATTTTATGTTTCCTTATCACGTGTGATTTCTAAGTCCGCTTAGCACTTTGCACGCGTTAATCGTTGGTGTCAAAATCAAACATCAACAATAGTCGACCCTGTGGACTAGCAAGAGGGAAAGTAAATGACTTTTGCTTTTTTTTTTTTTTAATCTTTATTTTATTTTTAAAATTCTTAGACATTTGCAAGTGTCGTATTGGATAAAATTACTTTAGTTGACTCTATTTTGCTTTTATTTTCTTTATAACTTGTACAAATGTACAATTATTGATTTGCCTAGTTTCCGATTAAATGTGACTACAATTAATAGTAAGTGTTCTTAGATGGAACAAAGTCATCATTTAGTGTCCCAAAATATTGAACAAATTGAAACTTGTGTTTGTTTTGTCCCTAAATTAGATTTAATAGAGAAGGGTTAAATGACCTTACTACCCTCATCCTCCATATACGTAATAACCTTACTTCGCTCAACAGTTCCTCGCCTCTTCCTCGTTGTAGCAGTCCTCACCCATCTTAAATCCGATGCCACTGCTCCAATTATACTGTCCTGAATATGGTCATTTTCTCCCCCCTAAACAAATATCTCCTTCAAACAACAATTACGAAAAAAAAAAAATAGTTTGATTATAAATAAATAAGGGGTATATTATAGAAATTTACTTGAGATTTTATATTACAAGTAAAAAATATTATAAGGCCAATATTTTTTTTTTTAAAAACTCAATAAATTATGGTTTGGATTAGGATAAATCCCTTATTATCTAAGGAGTTATATTCTAAATTATTGATAATTTAGTTTAACTTTAATTAGGATTTTTTTATAGGTTTTTTAAACTGTATTGACAATAATCGTTTTCTAAACATTAAAATGCGTAAAAGAAAATTGTAATTTTATGTAATAAAATAATTAACAATAATTATTAAAGTTTTATCATTTATTATTATGTTGAAAGATAAATTATATTACTTGTTAAAAATTCGCCGTAAATTCTAAACTATTATGGGTGCGCCAAAAAATCAAACCCAAAAACCCATACCGAATTGTTAGGGCCAAAAAATGTCCTCAGCCCAAATAGGCCCAAAGACGAAGACACCTTCATCCAAGCCGGAAGCTCGGGCCCAACTCCAATAGAGCCCAAATCAGAGTTCTGTAGATGAGGCCCATTCAATATGCTTTTTCAGCTCCTCACCATTTGGACTCAAGACTCCTGATCCTTGAACACCTATTGGGCTTACGATTAACTCGGAGCCCACAGTCGCCTACGAAGTACTTTCCTACTTGAACTCTGCTAAAGAAGTCAATTACTATCCTAACTCCTCCAATGTCCGTATCCGAGGCACATTCGAATTCCCTTTCCTACTGAGATAAGGGATCCAAAGGCTACACCCTTTGGGAAGACTACCAGTACGAGGACTCCCATTCCCACCAGGACTCGAAAACCATACACTCACTACTTAAACAGAGGTCAACCCTCTCACAAAGGACAGATTCCATTACACCCTCAAACCCTGAAGTTCCTATTCTTGAGAACTTCTCATTGCAACCGTAGTCACAGTCCCCGACTAGACTTCTGGTAACCTTTCTTCTCCCTAGCCCTCACTAAATTAGCCTCATTCAGCCTTGTTGACTTGGACGTCGGAGTGTCTACGGCAAACACCACCCTGGTGTTTTCCGTCGCTTCACTTTCCTTGCTTAAGTAGGTGCAGCAGATTGCTAGTGGCCTCAACCTCACGGGATCAAACCCTCTTTCCGTACAGGTAGATTTTTACGTCTATAGTTTGGCGCCCACCATGGGGCCTCTAGCAATCATTCGTCTCAACAAACCCTGCTACGTGAAGAAACTCTCCATGGCTGACAATTCTGATAACACTAATCCTGGCCTCGAGGCCAAACTGGAGGCTCTGACCGCCCTCATGCAACAACACTCAAACAAGGTGGCAGCATTGGAAGCTAAGAACACTACCATCCGAACTAAAAACGCCTCCATCCAGACCCAAAACCAATCTCTAAAAGAGAAGGTAAGTCAGTTTTATGATCTTGAGCTTCTGCCTTGTTAGGTACCACCCAATCGGTTCTGCACCATAGTTCCGTCTATGTAGCCTCTCAGATAAGCAGTCGCGTCAACTATGTTCCTCGTTGGTCGACGATTCAGCCCTGATTCAGTGTGAACGGGGTCTGCCAACAGAACCCTTCTCGGTTGATCCGCATCAGGCGCAAGATCAAGGCGTCCAAGTGACAGAAAGCCCGCTACAACAAGATTCACCCATCCTTGCCGTCCTACCTCACCTTCAGTCAACCGTCCCTACACAAACTCCACTCGGCTCGGTTCATCCTCACGGGTCGAGCGGCCTGATGCGTGTTTCCTACAACATGCAATATGTAGCAAGCATACTAATCGCTCAAGTAATAAAGTGATGAGTGAGTATCGTTCCCACGAGGACTGCTAGCTAAGCACTAAATATCCTACTGTTCTCAAGTTGGAGCAATCGACTTCTTTGGATTGATGGGAGCTATTTCTAATTAAAACTGAACAATAAATTTTAAACTAAAATTAACTATGAATGCAAGATAAAAAACACGGATAGTAATCAATTCAAGTAAAACGAGTAGGGTTTTGACTTCATTCAGATTTTATGGGTTAAACCTAAAAATTAAACTACATTCACATTCATATGCATTAGTTGTAAATCGAACTCACTAAGGTGTTAAACATACCTTCTCAGGCTATGTTTTCCTATTCTTCCTTATTAACTTTCCGCACCCAACAATTTGAAAGTTAACAATTCCAAACTCATTAAGCATAAGAATCCTACAATGATTTCATTAATTCTTGAATCTATCTCTAGCATCCAATACTATAATGGTAATTACCCAAGAAGCCTAACATGATTCATTTCTCAATCTCATCATGTTCATCACATAAAGCATTAAACTCAGAGCAAACATACAATCAAAGCATAGTCATATGAACATAAAACAATCAATAACTTAACCCATTAAAATCCGAATTACAATCAAAACCCTAACCCAAAATGGGTTAGTTCATAGCTAAATTAACACTACAAATAAGAAAAACGATAATATTCAAGTTCAACATAAAGAAAAGTAAGAGAAAGGACAAGAAATCTCCCCAAATGATGAATCCCTTGGTTCAAAATCGAATCTTCACCTTTCTAATTGCTAAATCTCTCCAAGCTTAGTCAAAGAAAATGTAAAAGCTGCTAAACCTACTTCCTGGACAACCCTGGACAAAAAGGCTAAGTGTTTCTTTTATACCTCACCCAAAATCCTAAGAAAAACACGCGCAAAGTAAAACTGTGCGTTTCACAAAACTGGAATTTACGACCGTCACCACGGCGAAGAAGAAATTTTGCCACGGCGAAGAACCAAACAAATCTGGTGCGTGACTGGCTCACTTCGCCGCGGCAAAGTACAAATCTTCGCCGTAGCGAAGCTTCTTGAAAAGTTCTGAAATTACAGAACTGCCACTCTGCTTGTATCTTCGCTTGATTTTTCGATTCTCAGTGCTCTCCCTTTGGAACAAGCCTTGTCGTGCTTTATCCTGCTTAAGAACTCTACTAACTTCTGAGATCCGTTAACTTCTAAGTAAAAAATTTTCAATTTTGTCCTTATTTGCTCAAAATGTCCATTCTAACCTGAAACACGAAATCTAAATAATTAAGCAACAATTCAGGTCAAAATGCACCAGAAAGTACCTGAAATCCGATTAAAAAGTCTAATGAAAACTGTATAATCCACGGATTATCACGGCCACCCACTTCACACCATCCCGCTCGAGTCCATCCATCCCAAAGGACCGAGCGAGTACCAAATAATCCCCCTAACCATTCATGTAGGGCGAAACACCCGATTAGTTACAATGGGAGTCACCCAACCGGAGGGAATGAACAGGGATCTAGGCTGCCAAACGATACACGAAGGAATGATCCACCAGGCCATACCGCGCGGATTGGCCCAACAAAATGAGTGCGAATCCTATGGCCAACCAAGTCAATCAGGATGACCTAGTGGTATCCGCCTCTCCCATGGAACAGATATTGGCCAAGAAACTGGCCAATATAGAGGCAGTGATGAGGCGTATACCAGGAATGTCAATCCCTATAAAAAAGAGCAAGCTTTACTGTTATGCCAATTCGGCCTTCGTGGATGCAACCAACATGCCCCATAAATTCACTATCCCTTGCATGAAGTCGTACGACGGCACAACCGACCCAGATGATCACATAGCCTCATACAAGCAGCCGATGTTCACCGTCTCGATACCCTGAACGCTAAGGGAAGCCTGCATGTGCAAGAGTTTTAGTTCAAGCCTTTTTGGTCCGGCTCTTCAGTGGTACACTAACCTCCCGAACAGTTCAATCAACTCATTCGCACAACTCACCGACACCTTCGTTGAGCAATTCGCCAGCGATAAAAAACTTGAGAAACTATCGGCCGATCTGTACAGAGTATACCAAAAAAGGGGGGAGCCGCTGAGAGAGTACGTCAGCAGATTCAACAAAGAAAAAATCTCCATCCCCTCCTGCAACCCCGAGACAGCCGTTGACGCCTTCAGGAAGGGTCTCCTCCCGGATGGTGAACTATACAAAGAACTGACGAAGCTCGGTTGCACCACGATGGAAGATGTTTTGGCCAGAGCAGTGATTCAAATAAGGTGGGAGGAAGATGAGATGAATCGGGCGAGTCATGGAAGGTATGACCCAAGGCGGAATGATAGAATGCCAAAGCTCAAATCGATTGAACCCCGTCGCCAACCCCCTCCACGCAATCTAAACAAAGTTAGAAAACCATATGACTACCAGCCACTTAGAACCGACAACAGACCAACCGAATCAAGCCGATACAGAGTCCTAGAGTACAACCTCAACGTCGAACCAGCCCAGGTCATGGCAATCATGAAAGGAATGGGATCTAGCGTTAAGTGGTCGGGCAAGCTCAATGCCGAAGCAAGGAGGGACACGACCAAGTGGTACAAGTTCCACGGCGACCATGGACATAATATCGCTGACTGCATTGCCCTGCGATTGGAAGTTGTCGTACTACTGAAGTGGGGACATCTCCGTGATCTATTGATAGATAAAGGGAATAATAACATCAGCCAGAAAAGCACGAAAGAAACATCTCCGCCTCCACAAGAACCTACGCCAAAAGGATTCTGCTCAATCATCTCATGAGGGTCGAAGATCAGTGGGGTTAGTTATTCCTCAACCAAACGCTACGTCAAAGCCAACAACCATCATGAAATCCAATCCATCCATCCGTCCTCTCGATCACACTCCCACCAGGTAATTCAGTTTGAAGATGACAAGCCAATCACCCTGGCCGCACCTCATCACGACGCTCTAGTCATCTCCTTCCAGATCACCAACATCCTGATCAAGAGAGTATTCATAGATGGCGAGTCCTCGGGAAACATTCTCTTCCTTGAAGCATTGAAAGCCATGGGTCTAGAAGAAATAAACATCAACAGACAACCAACCATATTGTTTGGGTTCAGCTCCAAACAGAAATACACCATCGGAGAAATCGTTCTTCCTGTTTATGCTAGCAGAGTGAACAAGCAAACCGTTTTTCTAGTGATCGATTATCCTTCACCATACAACGTCATTTTGGGCCAACCGTGGATCCACAACATGCAAGCTGTTCCATCCGCCTTCCACCAAACCATCAGGTTTCCAAAAAAGTAGGGAGTAAGGGAAATCAAGGGCGATCCCAAGGCTTCCAGAGATTGTTACAAGAACGCCTTCAAAAGCAAAGGTCAAGCTTTATAGTAACTACAGTCTCATCCAACCCCTCTGACCGAGTCAGATCAACCATCTATGGAAGAGTTCGATTAAGTACAAATACACCCGAAAGACCCAGAAAAAAAAGACCCATATAGGCTCTCGCCTCGGGCCCGAGACAAGAGAGAAACTAATATAATTTCTCAAATGAAACCAGGACTATTTCGCCTGGTCCCACGCTGACATGACAGGAGTTAGCCCAAAAGCAATCGTCCACCACCTCAAAGTAGATCCGGATCACCCCCAAGTGAAGTAGAGGCATAGGGAATTTGCACCAGAGCGCAACCGGATCGTCAATAAGGAGATTAATAAGTTACTGAATAATGGTCTGATCAGAGAGGTCCACTACCCCGATTGGCTGGCAAATGTTGTGGTCATAAAGAAAAAAGAATAGAAAGTGGAGAGTTTACATTGACTTCACGGATTTAAACAAAGCATGCCTTAAGGACTCCTTCTCGCTCCTACATATCGACATGATGGTCGATGCGACTGCAGGCCACAAGCTCTTAAGTTTCATGGATGTCTTCTCATGGTACAACCAGATTTTGATGCACCCCAATGACCAGGAGAAAATAGCCTTCATCACGGAGAAGGGGACCTACTGTTATAAGGTGATATCGTTCGGTTTCAAGAATGTCGAGGCTACCTATCAGCAGTTAGTCAACAGAATGTTTGTCGAACACCTTGGGGACACCATGGAGGTTTACATCGATGACATGCTCGTCAAGTCCCTGATGGCTGAGCAGTACCTCGACCACCTCAACCAGGCGTTCGCCGTCCTAAAGAAGTATAACATGAAGCTGAATCCAGCCAAATGCTCATTCGGTGTCTCGTCAGGTAAATTCTTGGGATACATGGTAACTCAGCGAGGGATAGAAGCCAACCTCGACCAGATCAGAGCAATCCTCAATATATCATCACCAACTTGCATCAAAGACGTGCAACGCCTCGCAAGACGAGTAGTCGCCTTGAGCCGCTTCATCTTCAGATCCGCTAACAAGTGCCACCACTTCTTCCATACACTCAAGAAATCTAAAAAGTTTGAGTGGACCCCTTCCTGCGAGGAAGCCTTGCAACAATTGAAGAAATAGCTAACCTCCCCTCCGCTCCTTTCCAAGCCTGTGGATGGGGAGAAGCTTTACACCTATCTGGCAGTTTCAAAGACAGCAATCTCAGCAGTGTTAGTTCAGGAAGATAATACAAAGCAACTACTGGTGTACTATGTAAGTAAGTCACTCCTCGACGTAGAAACATGATATAGTCAGCTGGAGAAACTGGCGCTCGCCCTCGTCCATGCATCCAGGAAGCTCAGGCCATACTTTTAGTGCCATTCCATAGTCGTACTCACCTATTTCCCACTCAAGAAGATACTACACAAGCCAGAGCTATCAGGCCAACTCACGCAATGGACGGTAGAGCTTAGTGAGTTCGACATATCTTTCCAGCCACGTACTGCCATCAAGTCTCAAGCACTGGTAGACTTTATTGTTGATTTCATCCCGAACACCACTGTCCAAACAGAAAGAGAATTATTATGTATGAACAGCAGATCGCCATCAAAGTGGACTCGCTCAGTGGATAGCTCAAGCAATGTGAATGAAAGTGGGCTCGGGTTAGTACTAACTACACCAGAGGGAGACGTCATTCAGCGGGCCATACAATGTGGATTCAAGTGCACCAACAACGAAGCTGAATAAGAGGCTCTCATCGTTGGACTCTCCCTAGCCAAAGAAATCAGAGTAAAGAAGCTAGAGGTAAAGTCCGACTCCTAACTCGTGGTCAACTAGCTACAAGGCACCAAGCCCGCGACTCGAAGATGACAACCTATTTAAACCTGGTCAAAGAATTGCAGACTGAATTCGAAGAATTTTCCATCGCCCAAGTCCCAAGAGTGGAGAATACTCATGCTGATGCCATTGCTAACCTCAGCTTAACCCTTCAATGTTCTTCCCAGTCATTCATCCCTCTTTTATTCCTACAATGGCCAGCCAGCTGGAAGGAAAAACCAACAAACAAGTCGCCCAAAGAAGCAATGGACATCGAACTAGCCAACTCCTAGATGACCCCGATAATAAAGTATTTGGAACACAATGAGCTCCTAACCGATAAAAACAAAGCACGCCGCCTAAGAGCAAGAGCTGCCAGGTTCACCATGTATGAGGGTCAACTCCTTAGAAAGTCATTCTTCGGTCCCTATCTCAAGGGCATAAGCCCAAAAAAGGTCAAACGAGTTCTCGCCAAACTCCATAAAGGCGAATATGGAAACCATGCAGGAGGACGCAACCTCGCACACCAGGCAAACCCACTCAATCACCCACAATTTTTCCAGAAACCCAATATTCAAGCCTGTTCTAAAAACCAAAGCACAGCACCTCCAAACTCGGGCAAAACTTTTCAAAAAGAAAACAAACCAAAAACTTCCCAAATTCTCGCTCAATCCCCCCAAAAAACACCACAAACACGAAGAAAACGAGGAACCAAGCAGAAAAGGCAAAGAGGAAGTAGTTTTTACAGTAGAAATGGCCAAATCCCAGAATCCTTCGAAGCTGTGAAGAGAACCTAGTTTCAGAGAAAAATATGAAGAAAAAAGAAGAAGAAATGGGAGATGAAACGAACAATCGCGCCTCCAAGTATTTATCAGCGAAAAGGTGTCAGGCAACACGGGCACCATGCGAATGGTCATTGAGAACCGTGATCTTTTGATTTTTTTCGCCCAAATTCAGAGGGCATCCCTATCGTACACGTGTCGAGAAAGGTTCTGTCCAGCTGTACTCCATCCTTAAAAGGCAACCCTTCCCTCAGTTCATCCGATCGACCGAGGTCGTCATCATCATGGTTGATTATCCAGCCTTGGCTATCCAGACTCACCCCAAATAATGTATAGCAAAACCTCTATTTCACCACTAGGTCACCCCGACTGATCGAGCAATTTTACCCATTGAACATGTACGTGCCTTTGCCCGGATTCGAAAAATCTGCCTGAGGAACCATAGGCACTTCGGGTCTAATATAATCCACTCATATGGAGGCACCGACTGAGGACACCTTCAGGGAATAACGCGCTCGTCCACCCACCCGGTCTGGCACACAGATCGGATCCACCTCCAAGAGCTCACCTCCTAGACAGTTACTCGGCCTAACACACCGAGTGAATACACTTCAGTAGACAACTCTTTTATTCACGCAATCGGTCGGTCACACCGAGAGAATACACGCCCGCAAGACTGCTCACTCATACAACCGTTCGCTCGTCCCCATACACCGATTGATAGCATCTCCCTGGTTTGATTACACGCCCTGACTCAGTTAAAGGCACCGATTATGTTCATGACCACGTCGCCCCATCCGTCCGATCAGGTATATCGATGAACATACGGACTACGAGCTGGATCATGCTATCAGTCGGTTGACCACAAAGGCCGACCAGTTACGCCTCCAAGCGATGCCTACTCTCTAAGTTAAGCATTCCTTAACTCAGAGAGTGGGGGACAAACTGTTAGGGCTAAAAAATGTCCTCGGCCCAAATAGGCCCAAAGACGAAAACACCTTCATCCAAGCCAGAAGCTCGGGCCCAACTCCAATAGAGCCCAAATCAGAGTTCTGCAAATGAGGCCCATTCAATATGCTTTCTCAGCTCCTCACCATTTGGACCGAAGCCTCCTGATCCTTGAACACCTATTGGGCTTACGATCAACTCAGAGCCCACAGTCGCCTATGAAGTACTTTCCTACTTGAACTCTGCTAAAGAAGTCAATTACTATCCCAACTCCTCCAATGTTCGTATCCGAGGCACATTCGAACTCCCTTTCCTACTGAAATAAGGGATCCAAAGGCTACACCCTTTAGGAAGACTACCAGTACGAGGACTCCCATTCCCACCAGGACTCGGAAACCATACACTCACTATTTAAACAGAGGCCAACCCTTTCACAAAGGACAAATTCCATTACACCCTCAAACCCTGCAGTTCCTATTCTTGAGAACTTCTCATTGCAGTCGTAGTCACAGTCCTCGACTAGACTTCCGGTAACCTTTCTTTTCCCTAGCCCTCACTAAATTAGCCTCATTCAGCCTTGCTGACTTGGGCGTCAGAGTGCCTACGGCAAACACCACCCTGGTGTTTTCCATCGCTTCACGTTTATTTCCTTGCGTGTACAGGTGCAGCAGATCACTAGTGGTCTCAACCTCACGAGATCAGACCCTCTTTCCGTACAGGTAGATTTTTACGTCTACATGAATCAAGCAGTATAGTTTGGATACTAAAATATAAAACTAAATCAAATTAAATAAAAATTTAAATAGATCGGTTTGAGTTAATGATCTTTGACTTGAGAAACTGAACCAAACCATATTATATATTTATCATATAATATGATAATAGGATTCTAAAT